AAATATGCGACATTGCCATTTCATCACGTATATTAAGCATGCCCCTTTAAAAATCAGTAACTATCTTAGAATAAACTCTTCAACAAGAATTTCTCAGGGCCCTTGATTTGGTAAACACTGTGCTAGAGGCTGAGAGAAGGAGACTGAGACACATCACTGGCCTTAAAGAACCCACAGCCGAGTGTGGAGAGCGAACATTCACACACTTAAGAGTAGAGCTGAATGACCCTTGTAGCAGAACGATGCTTGTACTGCTGTGCTGGGTGGTAGTCAGCACTATTTCCCAGAAGAACGAGAAAGATTAGGAGCTGGGGTACCAGTGGATGTGGGATTCGTTCTGAGAGAATCATGTAATTCTCAAAAGCTCAGGCTCTGATGTCTAACAGGCCTGGGCGTGAATCCCTGCTCATTCCGTTATCAGTTGTGTGAACTCAGGGAAAGCTAGCTGACCTCCCTGAGGCTCAGTTCCTTTATCTGTGAAATGGTGATATGGACAATACCTTAACAGGCTCTCTGAATGAGTCCGTGTCCCACTTTCAGTAAACCATCGTTATTTTTGTCATTGTTCCACCACCACCACCACCACCACCATGCAGTGCTTCTCAACCTTCTGGCCCTTTAAATACAGTTCCTCATGTTGTGACCCAACCATAAAATTATTTTCGTTGCTACTTCATAACTGTCATGTTGCTACTGTTATGAATCATAATGTAAATATCTGATATGCAGGATGGTCTTAGGCGACCCCTGTGAAAGGGTCGTTCGACCGCCAAAGGGGTCGCGACCCACAGGTTAAGAACCACTGCTTTAGAGGGTGGGAAGGAGTTTTCACAGCTTGAAGCCAGCATTTGACAGGAGAGACAGAAGGAGTGGAGGTGTGGGGAGAGGAAGGAGCCCCACATTTTACTTCCAGGCGAGGAAGACTAGCTGGACCAGAATAGTGAGCAGTTCTTTATATGTGCAGGGTGATAAGATTGGATAGAGAGGGCAGGAGCAGACTGTTGGGGGGAATCTTTTGTAATCCCAGTAGAACCCTGTACCTCGATTCTGGGAAGACAGCATGCTCTGAAAGGTTCTGGAGAGCAAGTCATCATCAGTGTGTGACCACTGGGGCCACAGGAAGCTAAAAAAAAATACTTGCTGATTGATTGGGTTGCAACGCAGGGAGCACAGCGGAATCTTCCCTCTGTATCTGTACCCCACTCCGCATTGTTATGATAAGGGCTTCAAACCCAACTAAAACCTGGAACAGTTGCACTTGGGCTATTTCCCGGGACTCCATTTGTCCTTCTGTCTTCTCAGTGTGTCTGCAAACTCGAAATAGATTTACTTTTATCCATTTTCTCTCTCTTCGGACCCCTATGCATATAATTATCAATTGACAGTCATGGTACGATGGGTGCAACCAGGTTTTAATTGTGAGGGGGAATAGATGAGTGAAAAGTTGTTGTTTTCAAGAAGTAAACATTTTCTGTTTCTTTAATGGAGAAGAAATCCGAGGCCATGAAAAGAAGAAAATAGTCCAACTCGGAATGAATCTGAGAACAAGCATGGGCTCTGGAAGGAGACTCCCAAACTTTTCAATATTTAGGATCTAGTATTTGTCGTCTTCATTCCCCCAAGGGGTATTTTTTAAAAATCCAAAGATAGGATTAATTATCCTGGAAGAATCTAATCTCTACCCTCATGTTTTAAACTGCAAGCGGGGAGACGTTTTAAACATTATGAAAAGAAGAGGAAATCTCTCCTGACAAATAAATGCCTTGAAAAATTAGTTATTAGTACTAGTCAAGTGCTCTTTCTTCTCAGGAATATTAAAATTGCACATTAGAGCATAAGGATCCTTATTCCATGCTCCCTCCTAATGCCACAAAACTAAGACTTGAGGAACAATTTCAGAGACAAAAGATGATATGAAACATCCAGCTCTTCCCTTTATAGGAAATTTCTCCCCCCCCCCCGCCCCCACATCTCAGGCTCAATCATTTCCTAATGTGAAATTACAGATTTTTCCAATTACCATATAAAACTGCAAAAAAATTACACTTGTGACCACAGAAAAGATAGCATATACTCTCAATTTGATTTTAAAAGGCATACATCTTTTATACTACCTGTCATTGTTATAATGCCTTTTACAAATTTAATCAATACATTTTAACATTCTATATACTTTAAGTGCAATATACAATAAATATTCAAGTTTCATCTTAAACGGGCTCTAGCCTTTAAATTGTTAAAACGGCAGTGCCCTTTCCATCTACTTACATAATGTCATAAAATATACATTTCAAGGTAAATGAAGTCAGCTACTTCAATTTAGTCCCTCAAACTGGTAGTAAATGAGAGGTTAACACTATGGTGCCAAACCCATTATTGAGTAAATTTAGCACCTTGGACAGCTCTGTAAAATCTTTATTGCTTTCCTGACCTGCTCGTCATGTTCTGTCGGTGTGTTCAGGGGCTCTCAGCCCTGATTGAAAGGCAATATATTAGATCCCAACACAAACACGCTTGGGGGCTAGTTCCCTGGGAGCGTAATGACATGGAGGTGAGAGCAATTTTCTGGTCACCGAAATCCAAGCACCTTGCAGGCCCGTGGCACTCACTCATAGAGGACCCGGACGTTTCCTTTCTCCTTCCCATTTGTGGAAATAACTAATAGAAGCTGAGTCACATGGGCAAAGCAGTACCAAGATGTGGGCTCTCCTGTGAACCCCACAGTGGATGCCGCAGTGGGGGACGTTTTGAAATGGGCGAGATATCATTTAAGGGCATCGCTGAAGTGATAACCCAGGTTCACCCTCCTCGAGACGGCTGGTCTGAAGCTGTGTGGGGCCGGTGACCCACCCATAGCAGGGAGCCAGGTTGCAACGCGTGGCCCAGCTTCACGGATCAAAGAAGGAGTCAACCTTAGGAAACAAGATTCAGGCGTTCCATTTTCAAAGGATTAATGGCGCGGAGAGCTCTAGGTATTGACATGAAGAAAAAAACACGTGGATTAAATCATTGAAAACCTTTATCACACAATATATATGAGATTAAAACATATAGCACACAAGGGTAGTTGGCCTTTTTTTCAGGTTCACAAAAACTTCAAAGATCTTGGGGTTTATATTGACCGCCCTCCTCCCTGGTTCTGTGCAATTAACTAAATTAGGAAGCACCGCTCAAAATCCTCAAGGATGACAGTGCTCACAAGTGTAGAAACTCCCCATCTTATTGCTCTTGACAAACAGGAGATGTGTATTGTCTTTTCTCAAAATGAAAAGGAAGAAAAAAACACTTTCTCTGCCAACCCCAAAACACTGGCATAAATATGTATTTGAAGAAATAGGTGAACATAGACCCAGAGAAGTAAAATCTTAGTAAGTAAACTATCTGGGCCTTGTTTTGTTTTCATCTTCCCTGTGAGCCAGAGAAAACCGCGAGGTTCCACAGAGAGAGCAGTGGAGCTGAATTTGATCTGCGGCTAGAGTTCAGCGTGCCCATCGCGCGGTGAATTATTAACTGCTGTGGTCAGACAATACTGCAAACAAAAGGCTATAAATTAGCTGCTCGCTTGCATTAGAAACATAAAGGGATTATTTCAGATGTATTGATTCAAACCCCATTGATTCTATAATACTTCTCACTCCTGCTATGAAAAATAACTGGACTGTTTTTGTAAATGGGGTCTAGCAGCTTAAGGCAAGCATCAATGTTTATTAAGGAACTGAAAACCCCTCTCCCTCATTTTTGAATTTAGGACATATATAATAGTAGTCCCTGCAGCATGACAACTATTTTATCTTATATTATGGAGAATTTAACATTGAGGAACGCTAATATGTATCTAAGAGCTTGCCATTTCAAGACTCGTTCTAGAATTTTTGAAGAGGCTATGAATGCAATTATGTCCCTATTTTCTGATCAGTATCTCCAGTGTGTGAAAATGGAGCGGTACTACGTCTCCGTGCAGAAATTGATTGTGTAAAATAAAGTTAGACTTCTTTTTTAAACTTTTACCCACAGCAAAAAATTGTAAACCTGTCTTTTTGCAAGTCACCTCATAGCCAAGCATGCCTTTAGGTTTGGTTCTCTGATAAGCCTCCATTCTACATGTATCACATTTTGCAGTATAAATGAATCTGCAAAAAATTAGGGCAAAATGAAGAGGGAAGGATTGCGTTTGGTTAGAACGACAACAAAAAAAATACCACTACACACACTTTTGTGGAGTGCCATATATTATTGGAAACGAGCACGCAAGCCAAATATGGAAGCCTACCTAAATGAAAAGATGGAGACACATTTTATTCAGTGGGGAAGGGAGCGAACAACAGAGCATAGATCTCAGATGAGAATGAATGAACAAACAGGGAAGATACTAACAATCCTGGAATACAGAAGAATCACGATGACGGAGGCACTGCCAGTCGTGAGAACCCGTGCAGAGGGAGCTCCTGGGGGCAGGAGACCCCTTTGGTGAGAGCCTTCGACAAGCAGTGCGTGGCCGAGGAGTGTGGGTTGTCTATGTCACCCCCTTATGTCGGGATTGTGCCACACAATGGAGATAAAGAAGTTTAATGCTACATGCTTCTAGTAGCTGAAGATTGATTGGAAATCCCTCGAAAATGACCTGTCTGATAAGGTCATGGTGCCTGGAATAAGCAATTAAGTGCAAAATAAACGCATCTTAGGGATTCATAACATGCACTGAATGACATCGATTGTAGTCATCCAGTAAATGACCTCGCAATTGTATTCGGCAATAAACACATGAGCGCTTTATCGTGCCTATGGCAGGCGCTTGAGTGATGTATTTTATCCTGCAGCACCAACGATGCTCACCTTTTGACTCGATTAAGTGTGTATGTGAACAGGGACAAATTGGTGATTTAGCACCATCCGGGGGTTCCCGGAGCTACTGCCTTCAGAGCAGTGCCTTGGCAGAGAGTGGCCAGGATAAGGACAACCTGCTTTCACTCAGAGGCCTGTGTCTGCTTCTCTCCCAACAGGAAGTCATACTCAAGAGGGCTGCGGACCTGGTGGAAGCGCTGTATGGGATGCCACACAACAACCAGGTGAGCGAATGGGGCCTCCAGCCTAGGTGGGCTCCACATTCAATGTAAGGTCTCAGATTCCTTGGTGTAATGGAAGCGTATGGAAACCATAAAAGTCCCTTGCATGAGTTCAGTGTTTAAGCCATTCAGACACATCACGTTGCAAAGCCATTCAATTCTTCTCTTCTTTTGTAAAATTTTTTATTACCTTTTCTACTATGATCATTTTCCTTACCCGAAGAGGCATTCTGTTTAAAACGAAATCTTCTGTGGGAATGTACTTCATGATGGAGGGAGAGAGTTACTGCCGCTTTATGTTATTCCTCAGGGTTTTCAAGCCAATTGAGGAGGGAAAAAAGGGTTTAATTTCTTCTCCTAAAAAGTATAACAAGATCTGAATATAACTGTCTTCCTCTATTTCCTAGGGCACGTCCTTGTATGAGGATGCTAGTATGAGTCGGACAAATGATTCACTCTTTTTGTGCCACCTGAGTCAATGTGCAGGGGACACAGTCCCACTAATACTCAGGGACCCAGAGAGTTATGTGTGTGTGTGTGTGTGTGTGTGTGGTGTATAGCCTTGCATTCCTGTGTGTGCCCAGGGCGCTGTCATAGACTGTGAGGTGTATGGAGGGAAGGCTTCGTTAATGGGCTTCCCAAGTCAGACAGACAGGGCTCTCTGCAGCCCAACTCTGTCCTTAAATAGGTGAGTTCCCCCATTTGTGATATGGGGGTGATGACGAAGAGACTAAACCTGAAGGTTTGCAGAGACGGGTGCAGAAATTAATGCCATTATCCATGGGAAGCCATGGGAAGCCCAGAGCATGGACCACAGTGAGCCCCTGACTGTAGCGTCACTGGGGTGTGATGGGGTAGCTAATGGGGGTGCTCCTCTTACTTTCCAGGAGATTATTCTGAAGAGAGCGGCTGACATCGCAGAGGCCCTATACAGTGTCCCCCGCAACCACAGTCAGCTCCCAGCTCTCACTAACACTTCCGTCCACGCGGGCATGATGGGCGTCAATTCCTTCAGTGGACAACTGGCCGTGAATGTCTCCGAGGCCTCGCAGGCCACCAATCAGGGTCAGGAGCCTGCTCTTCTTCTTCTCTGTCCCCTGTCCCTTCCAAACCTGAAGCTACAAACCAAAAGGGGAGATTCCTCGCCAGTGTGCATCAGGCACTATTGTGGCATTTTGTCAGGGAAGCTGGTAGAAGGGGCTGTAGAGATGCGTGCCTGGAGCCACCGCTGCACCAGACTTCTCACCATCAACCAAGACCGCAAAGAGTGCGGGAATTAAAGTTCTGAGGGGCCAAAGCACAGCGTTCGAAACCAGGGAAGAGGAACCTGTTCACTTCAGGGTACACTTGTAAATTGGGATTTATTTCTGCTCCAAAATGATGATTTACGGGCCCTGCATTGGCACGTCTCAGGGCCCTGCTAAGTATTTACGATCTCCTAAGAAATGTGCCTTTGGGGCTCCCCATTTTAATCAGAGCCAGCACCATCTGCCCCTCCCATGAATCACCAACCCCTTTCCTCCAGGGCACGGCATGGGGACAGCCATTCCCTGCCCCATCTTCCAGGACCGCCACCCTCACCCCTGGTTTTGTCCCCACCCCTCAGGTTTCACCCGCAACTCAAGCAGCGTCTCACCACACGGATACGTGCCGAGCACCACCCCCCAGCAGACCAACTATAACTCCGTCACCACGAGCATGAATGGATACGGCACAGCCGCCATGTCCAATTTGGGTGGCTCCCCGACCTTCCTCAACGGCTCGGCTGCCAACTCGCCCTATGCCAGTAAGTACAGATGTGTGTCCTATGTCTTCTGCAGGGAATTCAGCATTGTGCTGTGTGGCCCACCATGCAGCTCTCTGGGCCGTGCCCTGGCAGCCCAACATTGACCCAGGTGATGCTGGGGGCAGCACTGTTTCCATTAGACACATCTGCCTCCCCTTTCTCCCCCCCAAATCGCCCTAACCATCAGAACTTTGCTGCAACCCAAAGCAGCAGTATGCTATTACAGCCAGAACCCCAGCCTGGAATCAGATGGAGACGGGTCACTAACTGGTGGCCCCGGGGAAGCTGATCTCCTCTCCAAGTCTCAGTTTTTTGGTCTGTAAAATGGAGGGGAACTAGCCTCCTTCCCAGAGAGTCGTTGTGAGACTTTGATACAAGAATGAATGCCATCAGTTGTCCCTGGTGCCTGAGCCATGAGAGGCACATGCAGTGAATCTAAGTACTGATCATAATGATAATAGTGAGAGGGGCAGGTAATATAGCCCAGTAAAAATAGTCTAAAACATAAACGCTCGTCCTTTAGGAATATGACTCCTTTGTTTTCAGTGCCTAAAAACAACACAACTTTATTACCTTGAGTTCTAGAGGTCAGAGGTCGACAATGGTTGGCAGGACTGGGTTCCTTCTGGTGGCTCTGGGAGGACTCTGATTTCCTTTGTTGTTTTAATGGTTGGAATTTTTTCCCCCTTTGTGTTTGATATGCACTTAAAAAAAAGAACCACCAACCAATGCAAAACAAAAAAAAACACTTTATTTTTTCCAAAAACCTGGCACAGGAAACACACACAGACATAAGAAATGTTCTTGGCTCTTGTCTTAAAGAAGTGTACCTTAGGATATTTTTCTGGTGCCACATTTAGATTGCACCTAAAAAGCCTCAATGATATGTCTCTACATTCTCGTGGGCTCCCTCTGGGGATATTTATATAGACGGCCAAGTTCATCTTGGACGATGTGCGTGACTCTTGTTGTGTGAGCTGTGGCCAAACTCTTAGGCATTTGTAGGAAGATAGGATGATAGAAGACGTATTGTTCAATGAAAGAATATTCATGATTTTTTTTTTAAATGAGGTTTAGCTAAAAATACTGAACGTGATGCTGTCTCTTATGGTGGACATGTGGAGAGTGCTAATCCTTGGAAAGTTTCAAAGTTATTTCTGAGCAATACTTAGGGCCTTTTGTTTTCTGGGGTAAGTGTGTGCTAACTATTTCTACTTTGTTTGGAATCATCAGCTTGTTGAACATTTAGAATTTCCCTCTCCAATAACCCGCTTATATTATGTCTGTCTGCTTGAGGGTCGACGTTGAAGGCCAGTTCCACATAGATTTTGATTCATGGGAAGGTTGTTTCTCATAGATCAGTTCCGTGTTCTCCCATCTATTCAATCAGAAAATGTCTCCATCATGACCTGAAAATTAAAAGGTGGCACTCTTAATTAAATCAATAAACTAATTGCTATATGGTAGCAATTCAATTTAAGGGCTTGGATTGCTCCGTCTTCTCAAGCCCGTGCAGACAGCAAGCGACTTGAGCCTGAGATTGCATCTGTCAGCCGGGAAACTTCCAACACTTAATTTCCATTAATTGATTTCCTTAGTGCTCACAAATATAGTATTAAATTCTCAAATAAGCTCTCAGATGGGACGGTTTCATCTGCATAAATGCAAATAAAACAATAAACACCAAGCCCAGCAGATTCAAATTTTTGCTTCCATAAGACTTAATTATTCATAAACCACTCATGTTGAAAAATCCCTCGCAGGATAAAAAAAAAAAAGTAAAATAAGACATTCCACTGGTGAGCACACTTTCTGGTGTGCTGGGTGGTAACTAATAACGTTGTAACAAATGGAACTGCTTGACTATCTCTCACCCCTCTCTCTGCTCACACTCCCTACACCTAAATACACATCACCATCTTATTTGCCAATGAGATTAATTGCCTTCCTCGGTGAACCAGCAGGATTTCAAGTCTAGGAATATTTAAAAACCAAACCTCCAGTGTAGGGGTTTTGCAATTTAAATGGGTGTTATTATTAAGCGTATTTTCACATTTACAAATCCTAAGAGGTGTATGAAAATGCTGGCCTCATTAAAAGAAAAAGTACAGTTTAGGAAATGTTTGTGGAAACTCCGAGGATGGCGGCTCTGTGTTCTGCTGTATAAAGCATTCAGTGCCTTCGATTGTGTGCCACCTAGAACCCATTGCAAGGGGTCGCTTACCCGTTGGCAACTGCTGCCTGTGACCAATTTGATGCCCACTTCCTTAACTTTCTCAAGTCAGTAGGCCAAGGGTAAGCCCACCTCCGCAACCCCTGGGACTCTGGTGGGCCCCTGGGAGGGGAGCCTTTTCTCCTGGCTCTCTTTTTCCTCTGCAGGATGGTGTGGTAGAAAGAGCACTGCGTTGGGGTGTGGTTCCTGGCTTCACCATTCCAGCTATGGCCCTTGGGCAAGTCACGCTGTTTTCTGAGTTTCAGCTGGCTCCATTGGCTCAGGTGTAAAAAGGATAGAATAGGCCTAACTTAACTTGCTTGGCCAATGACATAAGCTGAAAAAGACGGGAAGATGTCTTCTGAATGATAAAGCAATATATAATGTTCATGACATAATATGAGAAATAACACAGTAGAAGGAAGTACCTAGAATTGAATTAAGTGCCTGGGAATCACTGGACAGCATTCATACTTTTCCCAGGAGAGGACAGAGCCTGAAGGGAATAGATGGAAATACTAGTCTTGAGTGTAGAGGACTTAGAAGGTGCAACATCTCTGTCTCCTAAAGGTAATCAAGAGATGATTAGCGACGAGCAAAAGATGAGAGGACCGTTGTTGGTAGACAAGATGTGTCTCCCAAACTCTTTCGTATTCCCAAGCAGCTAGGTGTTCTTTCTCTCTGAATTGCCCACGGCAGTTCTCCCATCATTGATAATCCACATCCCCACTCCTACCAGACTGGGAGTATTTACATAAGACTCCTCCTATCATACTGCTTGTTAATTCACAAACATTTACATTCCACTTCACTGGGATAGAGGGGATTTGGAATGTTGACTTGTAGTTCTGCATGAGCTACAAAGGTTGCACATTACAGTCAACTTGTCCACCTTGCCTCCTATCCATCTATCTCTGTGTTGTGGAGCATCAAGGTACAATCATATTCTTAAGGAACCCACACCATCATGTGGGGAAAAGGAACCCACACATACACACCTCCCGCTGTCGGTGCCTGTGGAATCCTGGTGTTGCCTTCAGTCACCCTTCCTCCTCACCCCCTCTCATTCCAGCAGTGACCATGTACTCTCAGGCTGGACTCCTTCTACCTCATGTCCCCAACCCCTTTGCTGGAACCTCAGGTTAGGCTCCACCAGGAATGCTTTCCCTGACACCTCCTCTGTGAAGCCTTCTCTGGTTTCCCTTTCCTACCTCTACAGAGTTGGCCAGGCTCACTTTTGTTGCTATTTTGTGCTACCCCAACCCTTGTAAGAGCACGTGGTTCCCTGGCCTGGGGCACCCAGTGCCTCGCATGCTCCTGGCACATAGTAGACCCACAATAAACACAAAGAAGATCACCACCAACAGAAGGTAGCACGTGCCAAGTACCTGTACCAACGATGAAAGCAGACCAGCTCCTGCGTGTTCAGGGAAGGCTCATGCTGGAGGGGCAGTCTGAGCCACCTTGTGTTGGGATGCCAGGAGAGCTGCTAATCTCTGCTTTCCCATTGCCTCTCCCAGTCGTGCCATCCAGCCCCACCATGGCCTCTTCCACAAGCCTCCCCTCCAACTGCAGCAGCTCCTCCGGCATCTTCTCCTTCTCACCAGCCAACATGGTCTCAGCCGTGAAACAGAAGAGTGCTTTCGCACCAGTCGTCAGACCCCAGACCTCCCCGCCTCCCACCTGCACCAGCACCAATGGGAACAGCCTGCAAGGTAAGCCCCAGGCCCCACTGGGCCAACCAGATGCCCTGACTCCACACTCCCAGGCCTGAAGCAGATGTGTCTCTGCTGCAGAGGAGATCAGCTTCTCTCTGCCCTCATCTCATCTGTTCATTTGTGTTCACTGTCGTTGGCCCTGGCCCCAGCCCTCCTCTGCTGGACTTGCCTGAGCAGCCCTCTTTCCAACTCTAGGAATTCTGCTCAGGCCGGGGATTTGCTTGAGAATACTGTTTCCGTTTACTAATGCCACCGTTTTTCTTTCTCCTCTTTCATCCCCTGTGGTCGCCATAATCAGACCAGTCTTTTGTGGACTCTAGCAAGTTCTCCACTGCAGGGTCTCTCCTGGGACTGGCCTTCTCCTGAAGTAGGTCACTCAACCTTCCCCTTCTGTTGGCTGTGGCAGAGTGAGCATGTGTGGGGCTGATAATGGGGAGGGGGTGAGCCACAGCCTGATCAGAGCCCTGACATGGGAGCAGCATAGGACAAAAGCTCAAGACTTACTACTGGCAACCCAAAACCCCAAAACACCACTGGAGTATTCATTAAAATTGTTCAATCTCTTCCCTATCATGGAATACAGGAAACAGAGTCACCAAGAGTTAAAGTGACCTTTTTGTTCATTGAGAAAAATAACACCCACGTTTTTAAAACAAGTCCACCACTCCTTGCATTTCTCTCATGTGCTGGTTGCGTGGTGTGGACCTGTTCCACCTCATTCTCTTTCCCACAGCAGGGTTGTGTGATAGGTACTCACAGTCAAAGTGCATGATCTCCAAAAGCTGGTATGGCCGAAGCTGGTTTCCAACTCAGGCTCAGAAATTGCATCTCCTCTTCCCATCTCCCAGGCACTGTACTCCTCGGGGGGGCTGGGGTGCAAAACAGATGTCTCCAGGGTTCCTAAGGCAGCTGGCAGAGAAATATCATCAATTAAATGATCTGCTACCATTTGTTCAGCACACAAGAGGCATGTGCGAAAGACTGAGCATACTTTGTCTTACTTGATCCCCACATCTTCCTGATGTAATATGAGGACTATTATGGTCTCCGTTATACAGATGGTAACACTGAAGCATAAGGAGAGTAAATACCTGCTCACAGGCCTAGCCAGTAAACTGTGGGGTTGAATGTAAACCCAGCAAGGTCTGTGGCCCTAACCCCTGGCCTACACAGCTCCCTATGGTGCCTCCCTTCAGTGGCTGTCACACTCCTGGTCACTGATGGAGGGCAGCAGACTTGTTTGGGACTTCTTAGCCCTGTTTCTTGTGTATAAGTGCATGTATATTTATTTATATTCATATATACATGTACTCTGTGCTGGACACTTTACCTTGATGGAACCTTATGTTGATTCTGAAAACCCTTTGAGGTCAGTACTATCCCCACTGTAGAGATGGGGAAATTAAGGCCCAATTTGCTCAAGGTCACACAGGTAGTACTGAGCACCTTTCCATGCCATGCTGAGCAAGGCAGGAGAAAGAAGGGATGGAAAAATGGGGATTTGGCCCAGGTTTTAGAACTTCTGAATTCAGGGAACATCTGGTAGTATAGGGATGTGTGTAATGATGAAAGGACTTCAAGACAGGGACACATGCTAGGTTTGTGCATTTGTCCCCCTTTCCCCCCCTGCCCCTGCCAGGGTGTTTCTAACCTGTCTGCACAGACTCCAGAAGTACCAAGATCCCCCCCCCCTACTTCTGGTTATCCACCACCTCTCCAAGATGCAGAGCGTGGAGGGTTTGAGGGTAACTCGGGAGTGCACTGCCCTCTCCTTCTGATTGAGCATGTGTCCAGGAGATTCCTGCCAGTGGTTGTTTTCCTGACACTGTCATGGACCAAAGATCCCTACTTTTGGAGGGTGGCTGTGGGGGAGATATGAGTAGAGAAATTAAAAGTCAATTCTGATGCCATCCTCCATCCTACCCCCTGCCTGCTCCATTCCCAACCAAGACACTCACCTGGCAGGGCCCCCGCACACCCTCTGCACACAGTCCAGGAAGCACCTGCGTGGGGCCTGGGTCTCCCCGAGCAAGGTGGCAGTCAGACTCTGGGCTCCTAGAACTAGAACCAAAGAATTACATCGTCTTTCTGAATCCCACTTCTTCTGTAGAAAAGGACATGGTGGGTTGTAGAATTGCAGGTAAGAACCTCTGGCGTGTTACATTCCTCCTCCTCCTTCTCATCGTTACAGTAACCCCTGCTTCCTTTGGACCCCCCTAGTTCAGGATTGTGATCATTAAGACAGGACAAGTGACACAGGAAGAGTTGGTTAAGCAAATTGACCATGTAAACAAGATTAGAGGTGACACACTTAGGCTGCTTAAGTACTTTAAAGGCCTATTACCTCCAACCGCCACTCTGCTAATTGTACCTCATCCTGTTTTTTTCTATAAAGCCAACTTCTTAAAGGTCTTATCCCCAGCATCCCTTCCTTAGCCTCTGCTAGTGACCGAAGCCCGGCTGTTCCCCGAGAAGGAAGCACAGCAGCCTCACATGATGGAGGTTATGAAGGTCACAACCACTCACATGGGAGAGCTTGATCCCAGCCTGGCTTCTGCATTATCTCAACCTCCCCACCACCCTTTGATAGAGACTGTTTATTGTCCCCATTTTACAGATGCAGAAACCAAGACTTATAGCCAAGGTAGCTCATTGAGTGTTACACAGCTGGCAAGTAGGCAGACTTACCGTTGTAAATCCTTATGCTCTATGGCTAAACTATAGCCAAGCCTCTGGGTTAGGCCCATGTAGACTACACCGTCCTGACCTTAAAAAGTTCCCTGCATGAAGATCAGTGCAACAACCACCACAGGAATGAAGGCAGGTCTGTCTGGGGGAAGGCTGGGCACGATGCTGCAGAAGCTTAAAGGGGAAGGTTAGGGAGCGTGCCTGCCAGCCTACTGGAGAGGTTGCCTTTGAAATGGACCGTGGGTGAAGGGCAGGTAGGATTCGAGCCAAGGGACATGGAGGAAGGGGCACTGAAGCAGAAGGATTAGGGAAACCTGAGCCAGAGAGGCATGTGCAGTCACCAGGAAGCCCCTCAGCACCCTGGTGTGTGAAGCCAAGAAGCAGGGAGAAGGTTGACAGGAAGACCTTAACAGGAAGTCATTCACTCCATTCTTTACATACATCTGACCACTCACAGTTTCTACTATGATCCCAGCTGGCTTTCTCTCCCAAGGAGGCAAGACCTTTGACAATTTACCGTACATCTTGAGAAATTTTTTAGGACAAGGTGATTCTTAATCTCAGTCCTTCCAGAGCCTTACACGATGTTCTGCTAAAAACCAGTTTCCATGTTGTGGGGAAACACGTCTAGAAAATGGTCTTTACTGGACTGCTGTCTTGGAGATCCATAATGCACCTAAGTGCACGAAGGGCCCTGAGATGTCCTACAGCCAAACAAGCAAATGTTTCCTAAGCTTCTTTGCCCACAGAACCCTTTTCCGAATGTTAAAACCAGCGGACATCCATAAAAAACTTGGGAAAATGCGGAGACATCTTCCCTTCTTTTCTAGAGAAAGCCGTTGATAAGTCCCAACGCTAGACTCCCCGGCGTGCCGCTCTCATAGGGCAGACTTGAGTCACCTAGCCTGCTCATTGTCCTGAGACATCCGCCCCTCCACTTCTCCCAAAGCCACGGCCCCCGAGCAGGGGTTGTCTGCAATCTCAGGCCTCAGAGGAAGGACTTCATTAATCGAGAGAGGGGCAGCCCAGAGAAGGCCGTCACCACGCCATTGCCCTCCTTCCCGCCCCCCTTTTCTGGGCAGCAAAAAGTTAAAAATGAAAGGTCGGCTGTGGCTGGTGTTCTCAGTGGTTAGAGCATCGACCCGCACACCGAAGGGTTGTGGGTTTGATTCTTGGTCAAGGACACGTACCTGGGTGGCAGGTTCACTCCCTGTCCCTAGTCTGGGCACGTCAGGAGGCAACCAGTCAATGTGTTTCTCTCTTCTCTCTCTCTCCCCGTCCACTCTCTCTGAGGAGCAAAGGAAAAAATATTCCCAAGTGAGAAAAACAAAACAAAACATACATATAAGATCTATAAAACAAAAGGCCAGAACACCCACATACTGAGATTTTTCTTCCCCTGCTTGGCTGAGACTCAGACCGGCCAGGCCCACCCGACTTGGGGTGCCATGCGGTCCAGTAGTGAACCCTATGGAATTGTCTCTTTTTTTTTTTTTTTGAGCACGTGTACAATTTGTGTAAGTCTTTCCTCACTCTATTCCTGGTTAGCTCCTAATTCTTACTCATACGGTGGTTCAAGGAAGCCCACACTCCAAAGTCCCCCAGCTCTGCAAAACTTCCTATTTTGTTTTGTTCTCACCAAACGTGAAAACTATACTGAAAAAAAAAGCACTGCCTTTCAAACCACTACTCCTACGGGCTCCTGTCACTGGACATGGTCGCCCAGCTGCCAGCAGGGACGGCAGTGCCCTCGGTCTTGTGAAAAGTTTGGCCGTGGGGCTTTCAGCGTGTCATGTCCTCATGGAAATCTTGGGTAAGTCAACATGCCAGTGGCATTGCTGGAACATTCCAAGCTTCAGACACCCAGCCCTCTCACCCACATAAGCAATCCTGAGGATTACAGCACAGACATGGGAAGACGGCTCCTGGTAGCTCCGGGAGCACCCCTGCATTCTGCAGTGAAGTTTATGAAACGACCTCTTTAGAGGTGTCTGAGCTCAGAGGCCACAAATGATGTTTTCCCAAAATGTACCGAACGGTAAGGGTTCTGCGCCAGACTTTAGGAAGTCGCAGGAGAGATATAGTGAGCTGTAACCCCGATGGCGTATGCAGAATTCTGGGTGTAGGTACACATGGGACTTCTTCGGGAAAGAGGTCTGAGGGCCAGGGAAGTGTGGCAGACCAAAGCCACCCGCTGGATACCCTCAGATATGTTTGCTTGTTTGATTTTAATTATTTGCTAACCCTGTGTAAACTGAGCTATTTAGTTTTTTTAAATCCACACCTTTACCTTGTCTTGAAATAGTTCAGCTCTGGTGGCTCGGAGCAGGCATT